TAGAGATGTCCCGGCTGGTCCCTTCACCCGGCTCTGCTGCTGTCTGCGTCACCCTCCTCCTCCTCGACTGTGCCTGGCTCAGCTCAGCCACCCCCAGTAAGTGCCTTCGTGGGTCTAGGGGGTGATGGGGCAGGGCTGGGGGACTTTGCTGGGACACTCTGACATTGCGTCCTGTGTTACTTAGAAGGGTTAGCTGGGTGTCATGGTGAAAGCTCAGGGCACTGCTCTGCTGCCTTCCCTGGGTGTCCATGTGGAAAACTTAAGTGAAGATCTGAAAGTCTGCCACCCCTGCCCCTTTGGGCAGTAAAAATCAGGTTACTGCTCTCGCAACCTGAATTTCTCCTGTTCCCTGGATGCAGAGAGGTGGCAGAGGTTGCTGGGAACCTGTTGGATGTAACTGGGCCCCCCCTGGGGCTGGGTCTCCTGGACGGAGTTTCTGGAACTGGGGGTGATATGCAGGGAAGAAGAAACTGGCTGTGTTTTTTTGAGCAAGCCAGAAAAGGAATGTGATCGTCAGTGGTCTGTCTGGTGTCCTGGGACCTTCCTGTTCTTTGCTTTTGTTCTGAGCACGCAGTAAAAACTTTCCGACCACAGGAAGATGGGGAGGTGTGCACAGCTCCGGCTGCGACGGGGGGCCGAGTTGGGGGGTTGGCCAGGAGGAGGAGGAGGCAGGAGCCCCGGTGGGAGAATATCTCCCATCCTGGCGTGGGTGGTCGTATCCTGATCCTGTCCTGGTGTGGGTTTCCCATCCTCCCTTTTGATCCTGCTGGACTGTGGGGGATCTGTTGTGCTGGGCTCGGTGGGAAAAGGGACGTTGGCAGAGCCGTGTGTCCCCGCAGCGGTGGGTGGGAGCAGAGCCCATCTGGGCTGCGGGCAGGGTGCCTGGCTGGTCTGGCACCGCCGCCGTGGCACTGCCAGGCAAGCGGCGTGAACAGCGCAGGATGTGGCACAGCTCCGCGTGGTGAAGGTGGCAGGATGTTAAGGGCCCTGAGTTGCCCCTACCTTGGGGCAGGGAGATGCCAGGTCCTGCATTTGCTGGTGGCTCTGCAGGGAGGAGTGACAGCTCCCGCGTGGTCCTGAGTGGGAAGGGCAGTGGGAAGGGGCTCTCGGCTGAGCCTAATGCCTTATGTCCTCCACAGTGCGTAAGAAAGGGCGAGTCTTGATCCCGCTCACCCCTCAAGAAGAAACCACCTGCCCCGCCGCCTCTGTGGAAGCTTTTCTCAACAGCACCCTCACCACCCGCCTCCTCCCTGCCCTCTACTCTGTTGTCCTGCTCGTGGGGTTGCCGGCCAACGCTCTGACCTGCTGGGTCCTGATGACCAACTTCAGGAAATCTTCCAGCACCCTCTTCCTGCTCAACCTGGCCTGTGCCGACCTGCTCTTTGTCCTCCTACTGCCCTTCAAGATCTCCTACCACCTCTTGGGCAATCACTGGCTCTTTGGGGACTACCTGTGCCGCACCATGGTGGCCTTCTTCTATGGGAACATGTACAGCTCCATCCTCTTCCTCACCTGCATCGGACTGGAGCGCTACATCTCTGTGGTGCACCCGTTCCTGTGGAAGCACTCCAACTGGACGTGGGGCAAGGCGGGCATCTGTGTGGGCATCTGGCTGGTGGTGGGGCTAGGCATGAGCCCTCTGCTTTTGCACCCCCAGACAAGTCATATCTCGAGCCTGAACATCACAACATGTCACGATGTGCTAGGAAAGGATAAGCACATGTTCCTCACCTACTATTTCCTCTCCCTGGTGGGGCTGGGCTTTGGCTTGCCCTTTGTGCTTGTGACCGTCTCCTACAGCTGCATCCTGGTGCGGCTGCTGGCCCAGGGGAGACGCTATAAGCAAGTGGTTCGTGTCCTGGCCCTGGTCCTCCTGGTCTTCATCTTCTGCTTCACGCCCAGCAATGTGCTGCTCTTCATCCACTACGTGCTGGAGGCCACGGGGTGCCACAACGTCACTTACATCTGGTACACCCTGGCCCTGGTCCTCAGTGCCTTCAACAACTGCTTCGATCCCTTCGTCTACTTCTACGTCTCTCAGGATTTTCGAGCCTGGGTCCGGGATGCAGGGAGCTGCTGCCTGAGGGGGCTCAAGACCTCGACAGGGAGGGACTCGAAGAAGGCAGCCTTGCCCCTGAGGTCCAGCGAGCAGAGCCAGCTGTAGGCAGGGCTAGGGGGTGCCGGGCTGTGTCCCCCCATCATGGGGAGCGGGAGGATCCTGCAGCCTGGTGCCCAGTACAAAGGGCCGTGCCGTCCCAGTCTGGCATCAGACTTGGGCAGAAAATCCCACCCTGGATCTGAGGTTCACTAGGACTTTGCAGTTTTTGCAGTTCTTCCGATGCCTCCAGCACTGCCCCCCTGTCCCATGGGTCCCCCGGCTGGGTGCCTGGCCCTGGCTCCCCTGTCTCCCTGCCCACTGGACCCCGACATCCCTCACCACTCCTCCTGCAGCGACCAAACCCTCCAGAGTACAAATAAACCTTTATTTCTCCCTGCTGGTGGAAGGAACAAGTATAAATACCCCAGCTGAGCAGGAGCTGTCCTCCATCGCCAGGACTACGCTCTGGGCACACACGGCCAGCCCTGCTCCTGTTGACCTCCTCCCATAAAATATGCCACAGTAGATGCAAGAAGGGAAGTGGGGGATGGCTTGGGTGTCCTGCCCCTGCCTCAAGGGCCCAGTGCTGGAGAGGGGACATCATGCTGTGTTCCCCCATGCTTGCAGGCATCTCATGCCGCCCTGCCTGATACCATGGCATGCTGTTGAAACATGCAGGAACATGCTTCCACTTTTATTTTCCCTTTTACTTGCTCCCCTCAGTGCTGGGCCTGATGACAGACGTGCCACCCACGATCGAGAGCACCTGCGGCAGCATCCCCAGCCCTCCCAAGAAGGGGTACCGTGGCTCAGCATCCTGGTCCCCACTAGTCTCTCGATCCCCACCAGCTCAGCCCCGGGGTCAGGAGGAGGAGGATGATGCGAGCTCCATGATGTGGGAGTGTGGGGTACCCACTGTTGCTGCCACCGAGTGCAACTTGACCCCTGGGTCAGTGGCCACCCCTTTGGCATGGCGGTTCATGTCACTGGCTGGCCTGACCCTGGTGACTGACCCTCGTTCTTCCTGAGGATGACACTGCTGAGCTCCTGGATGAGTTTGTTGTTGGCGGGTGAGGGAGGCTGCATGTTCCTCTTCCTGGGGATCTCCAGGGAGGTCTCTGTGCTGGATCTGTTCCCCGGTGTGACTGTCTGCTCCCAGTCCCTGTCCACCACCACGGAAGGCTCCACTTTCCTCTCCAGAGAGGCTGTTTTGGTGGGTCTGAGCCCCTGGGCTGGAGTTTTGTCACTCTCCAGGTTCAAGCCCCTTTCGAGGGACAGGGCTTTGGTGATGGAGGGATCCACCACCCTCTGGGCTGGGCTGGCAGGCAGCGAGGAGCGCAGTGATGTGGTTGCGGGCTGCTTGGGCAATGAGGCTGGCTTCTTGGACCTGTCCACGGGGGGCATGGCCGACAGGTCTTCCAACAGCCCCTGCCCCAGCTCCAGCGCAGCCAGCTCAGGGAAGTTGCCCACCTCCTCGTAGACAGGATCGATGTCTGCCTCCTTCTCCTGCTGCTCCTCCAGAGAGTCCTGGTGCATCTTCATGGGCTGGGGGAGGGCAGGAGGTCAGGGTGAGGAGCATTGTCTGCACTGCTCAGCTGTACCCCTCTGTGCCCCCTCACCTTGCCCTCCCAGTGCTCAGGCACTGCCCAGGAAGCCTTGCCCCCTCACCGTGGGGCTGATGTCTACAGGGAACCCACCCTCCATCAGGTCTCTTGGCTCAGGCACTATTGCCCTTTCTTCCCCATCGCTGATGGAGGGTGAGCTTTTTGGTCCCATGCTGAGGCATGGTCCATGCCACCAGGCTGTGGCACCAGCCCAGCATCCCTCAGCAGATGTGGTCTGGGGTGGGAAGGGCAGATGGGCACCCGTGCAGAGCACAAAGCCAGGTGAGGTGAGGTCCAGCCAAATGGCCACTGTGTAAATAACCTGATGGCAAGGAGGACCCAAACCTATTTCCTTGCATTTCTTACGTTGATCCCCTCTGAGCAACGCACACCCAATGGGAGAGGCTTTGGGAACTGGGTTGGACTGTAGTGGTCTTGCTTGCACCCACCAGGACCATGCAGGGACCCCCATCCCCAAGTATGGGAAGCACAGAGCAATGGGCACCCCCTCCTCTGCCACACAGCGTAGGCAGGATGGCCTGGGCATGTCTCTGAGTGCAGGTGGGATGCTGCAAGGGAGCCCTTGCTGCCGTAGCCAGGACGTACGGTGCAAAGCCAGCAATGGATGGGCTCCGTGTATGTGGGTACTTACAAAGAACATGGACAAAGTCCTTCGCGTGTGCAGGCGGCGCTAGAAACAGAGGAGACGGGCAGAGGTAAGCATGTGATAGCACGGAGCAGGGTCACGGATGCCTCGGCAGGGAGAGGACAGGCAGTGGGGTGCAGCAACCCACGTGCCCTCACAGGGCCCTGCACGCACAGAGAGCTGCCACAGACACGAGCACAGCACGCAGCACACACACCGCTGAGCACAGGGACACACACCCAAAGCGTCCATCGGTGCCAGGCAGCATGCACCCGCCTCCAGAGCCCTGGGGTGGGTGCATGGTCTCGGGATGGGTGCACGGACCTATGTGGGCGCAGGAGCACCCATGGACAGGGGTGGGTGCGGGGGCTTTACCAGGGTCTGGTTGGCGGAGAGCATGGTGGCATCGGTGCTGTCCCCATGCAGGGGCACCAGCGGCATGGTGCCGAACTTCTGCTTGGCGAGGTCGGAGGAGGAGCGCCGGCGCATGATCACAGGGCGCAGGTCATCGTGCTGTGCACAAGGACAGGGCAGGGAGGGGGGGTCATGCCAGGCTGCCCTGCCAGCCCCCTCCCATCCCAGCCCGGTTGGGTGGTGTGACCAGCCTGCACCCACCTGAGCCTTGAGGATGCTGGTGGTCCAGTCCCACAGCTCAGCCTGCCCTGAGCACACCAGGTACCTACAGAGGAGTCAGCTGAGAAGTTGCCAGGGAGCAGAACCAGTGGAGTCTACGACCCCTTGTCACCTTGCTTGTGCGCCCGGGGCTGTCAGGCACAACTACACCCAGTGGGGCTGCACCTCTGAAACTCTCTGCATGCCCAAATCGCTGCTTCAGGGCAAGGCAAGAGCTTGTTGGGCACCCGTGAGGCACCTCGGCTCAGCTGTCCTTGCTGCCCTTAGAAGAACATCTCAGCCTCATGTTAGGGGCAGGTGACGTGCATTGGCAGTGTCAAGGAAATGAGGACAGGATCAGCAGGATGCAGGGATGTGTCCAGGCACCCAGCAGTGCCAGGGAGGCCAGGCCAGGGACCCCAGCTCGGTGCAGGGTGCAGGAGCACCTGTCGTTGGGTGTGTGGGGACACAGAGCAGTGTTGGGTGAAGGCTGGCAGGCAGCACAGCCACGCGGGTGACACGCACATCTGGGCAGGGTGGGGAGGTCCCTCTGGAGCCTGGTGCTGGGTGCTTGCATCTCCCGGGGTGCTGTTGTGGATGGGGAAGCAGGAAGGGTGTGCGGTACGGAGATGGATTGCCCCTCGGCTCTAGCTCCCACCTCATGCCAGGGAGCATGTGGCCCCACCACTCTGTCCCTTGAGTGCCCCAGCCAGGCACCAGCTCTGCCCTGACCCCCAGGGCCCTGTAGGGGCTGTCCCCGACTGTCCCACTCCCACTAAAACTGGGGACAGATCTCAACATTCCCCCTGTCCTAGGATGGCAGGGGCAGATACTTACAGCTGCTGCTTCTCGAGGATCAGTGTGAAACCCCACCTGGGGAAAGGAAGAGACAGGCTGTGGGGCAGCATCACCAAGCTTAGACACAGCCTGAGGTCTGTGGTCAGTGCAGTGGGCGGCTGAGCTTGCCCCATGGGCCCAGGCTTGTCATGGCTTTGGGTCCCGATGAGGCTTGGCATGCTCCCAGCAGTTGGGTTCATGTGCTAGGTGCAGGGACCGAGGGATACCCCAGGGCCACAGACAGGGAAGGTCCCACTTACTGGGCTGGTGGCTTCAGCTTCTTCCTAATGCCCATGTAAACCTTGGCTGCATCCAGGGGCCACTCGCGCTCTGGCTTGACACTCTGGGGAAGGAGATCCATCAGGTCAGCCCAGCTTGGTGCCAGCCTCCTTGCCAGGAGAACAGCCACCACCGTGCCACCGCTGTCCCCAAGCTCCCTCTCCCTGCCTCTCCTCCCACCCTCGGGGCACAGGTCTATCCCCGAAGCATCCCCTGGGTACCCTCTTCTCCTTGAGCAGCAACAGCCTCCGGTCCTGGATGACGAAGTAGCGCTCCTGAAATTTGTTCCCCAGCAGTTTGGGAGGCTCCTCACGGCATTTCAGCAGCCCGCACTTGGGGGTCTCACGCTTGACACCTGCCCAGCCGGAGGGAGACGGGTGTCAGGGGGGCTGGGAGCATATGAGGGTGGCTGGGGTATTGCAGTGGGATCTCACTGTGGATCTCAAGGATGTGTCCCTGCCGGCTGCAGGGCAGTGGCTAGGGCAAGGGGAAGCTCAAGCAGAGCTGTCCCCTTCTGGCGACACCCCTAGAGGCTGGGACCCTTTGTGATTTCCTTACCTGTGAAGAGACAGCTGCCCTCCCCGATGGGGACCTTCTTCACCAGCAGGTATGCGGTGCTGGGCTCCGGGAGCTTGCACCACTGCAAAGCTTGCTCCAGCACCTTCTCCTTGGGGTGCAGGGGCCGTTCTGGGGAGGCAGGAACATTCACCACTGTGTCCCCTTCCCTGTGCCAGTCCTTGTCCCTTCTGCCACTGGCAGCAAGCTACCCCCCTGTACTCCACATCTCGTCCTCACCAGCCTGGCAATGCTGAGAGCATCACCCCAATGCCATTCCCACCATGCTCACCCAGCTCCCCGTTCTCCAGGGCCTCGAAGGTCAGCCAGATGTCCAGGCTGGCTGCCACGTTGCGCATCTCCCGCAACTGGTTGGTGAGCTCCTCTGCCGTCATCGTGGGGGACACCTGGGGCCAGACACACGGGCAGCTGTGGTGGGTGGTGGCAGGATGGGTCCCAGGGACAGGCTGTGCCATGAGCCTGCATCCCTCCTCGCTTCCTCTGGCACGGTCCTCCTTTAGGACTCACCTTCAGGGTGATGCAGCAGTCGGGCAGCTTCTGCTCCAGGTAAACCTCGATGATTAGGTCTCCTGCCTGTGAGAGCTGGGGGAAGAGTGGGTGGCATTGGTGTTGTGCTGGCATGGGTGCTGTGCACATCCCCTTTCCCCAGGAGCTGGCAACAGTGTCCCAGGGAGCTGGGGCTGCTTCTTCACTGAGCAGGAGCCTCAAGGCAATGGGTGAAGGGGAGACAAGTGGGGGAAGATCCTCCCTTAAATATCTGCTGTGGGGCAGTGAGGACCCAGAGTGGGCAGCTGGGAGTGCCCCCATGCTCCAGTCAGTCCCATCAGCCCAGGGGTCCCTGACATGATGGAGACTGGCAAGCACATCCCTGGTACCTGGGTGTCCTTCCAGGTGGTGATCAGACTGTTCTCCAGATCCATCTGGGATACCTGGTCCTCGTCAATCTGCCGGAGGAAGGGCACCCAGGGTGAGAAGGGAGACACATGGAGACAACATGAGGTGGGATATGGCTTGAGGACACATGGCCAGGACAGAGGGATGCAGGGAGAGGCAGAGGTGGGCAGTATGGGGGGATACAAGGGGAGATGGACAGACCCAACATGGAGGGGGCTGGCAAGGCCCCTGCAGGGAGCTTACATTGAAGATGCTGACGTAGTTGTCAATGAGGTCTTCCATCACCTTGACCTCATGCTCCCCTTTGCCATCAGTCTGGAAAAGGCTGGGTGCGAAGAGCAGTGACAGATTCTTGGTGCTCATCTGGTTGAGGTCTGCACATTTCTGCACCCTGGGACAAGGACAGAGATGAGGGGCTGATCCCACTCTGGATGGGGTTTCAGGCTCAGCCACCCTCCTCTGCCTCATACAAACTCTCCTGAAAAACAGCCCATTTTTCCCCAGCTCCCCAGCAGTGGGAACTTCAAGTCGGGCAGTTCCTGTTTCGAGAACCTCCAGCTGCCATCAAACCAGACAACAGCCCCACCTCATACTCTGAGTCGGTGATGGGAATTTGTTTTTTTCCCCTCTCTTTTGGGCACTGGGTGAAGTTTATGTCCTACAAGGGCGTGTTGCCTGCTCCCAGGCCTCTTGTCACTCCCCCCTGCTGCAGGATGACTTTGGGAATGTTTGACATGTCCCAAACCAGCATGGTCCAGCACATCTCGGCACCAGCTGGGGGGCTGGCGGGGCAGGCCACAGGCACTGTGTTCTTCTTGGCTTGCAGAGATGGGAGACAGCATTCCCTGGGTAGCGGGGAGACCCCACACTGCTGACTGGCCTTGGGGACCCTGGCTGGACCAGGAGACCCTACAGGGAGGTGGCTCACTGACCGGTAGAGGTGGCCAATGAGTGCAGCCAAGGTCTTGTGATTGAGGCGAGGCAGGCGATGAATGAGCTCCTTGTACCGCTCCAGGCGCTGGGGCTTCGAGGAGATTTCTGGAAGGAGGAAAATGAGTCATGGACCATTGCTGAATCCAGTAGATCCAGAGCTGACATGGCACCAGGGCTGGCACCAGGACTGGCACCAGGACCCGGCCCCGAGGGACATTGGTCCCAGGGGTCCCTGGCAGCCTAGCATGGGAGCAGAGGTGGGGAGAAGGAGGTACCTGCAGCCTCCTTCCAATGTGGGTGCAGCTCCAGGGTGAAGACGGGGTCTTCCAGCTCACGGAAGAACCTCTTCAGCACGTCAGTGACATCCTCGATGAAGTTGTCGTTGATGCGCAACTTGACGTTTCGGGCATCCCGCCGAAACTCCTCCATCAGTACCTTGATCCGGGACTTGGCTCCGTTCTTGCGATAAATCCCCTCATGCCGCAGCCCTGGGACAGGGACATGATGTCATGGGGGTCCAATCCTGCCCAAAGAATCCCTAACAGGGCTGGTGCCTCAAGATCAGTGCCTCCTGCCTGGACCCATTGGCCACACCACGTGTGTCGGAGGATGCTCTGGCTGTGCCACTGCAGCGCTGGGCTCACCGTACTGCGTGATGAAGGCGATGCAGCTGTCCACGATGATGGGAATGTCCCCTCGGCTCAGCTGCTGGTCCCGTAGCGCGTTACCCCGGCCCCCCGCTGATGCCTGGATGTCGGTGTACCATGCTGCCGAGTCTGCCCGCGACAAGCCCTGCAGGTAAAATGTCCTGAGAACAACAAGGGCAGAAAAGAGGGAATGAAGGTTGCCAAGGGGGCAGGTTATCCCCTCCTGCTTGTATGCACAGCCTGGCTCCGGGACAGGAAGCAAGGCACAGCCAGGCTGAGCCGAGGTACACCCTAACCTGGCGAGACACCCCAGACTGGGGTGACCTCTGTAAGCCCCTTAGCCACAGCCTTACTGTCCCAGTAACATCCTCACCATGGGTTTGGGTTCAGCATCAAGCCGCGGATGAGTCCCTTTGCCCTGGGCAGCCTGCTGAGGTTTCTTAGCTCATTTCCCATCATTCCCACAGCCAGGACTCACCTCCCCATCTCCACCAGGATTAGCAGCTCCTTCTTCTCTGGAGTCTCCGTGGGGGGAACCAAACCTGCATTGGGGTGAGAAGTAGAGGGGTCAGAGCCATGCATGGCCACCCACCACATAGTGCCTGTCCCGGGCTGCGGCACGGCACTCACTGAGCTCCTGCAGCCGCCGGAGGTTGATGCTGTCCTCAGCCCCATCATCCTCGGAGGGGCAGATGAAGAGGTGGGCTTTCTGCAGGATGAAGAAGGCCTGCTGCCACCGCTCGGGGTTGAGCATGCACTTGTAGCGCAGCTGGCCCACGCGCTGGAATTCGTAGCCCAACAGACAGTGACAGCTCACGGGCGTGAACCACTGTAGGATGGAGTAAGAGATAACCCAGGTAAAGACAGAGCTCGGCTGCCAAGCACAGACCCCCACAAGGATGGGGGCAGGTTGCCGGGGAGGATGGGAGCCCCTGCAAAGGGAAGGAGGGTGCTTGCCACAGAGGATGAAGAGCATGGGGAGCTGGGAGGAATCACAACAGGGAAGTGGAGACAGAGCCCAGGGACCCAGCAGTGGCACAGGGTGTCAGGCCTGGGGCTAGCTCACCTTGCCGATAGTGCTGGCCCAGGCTTGCAGTGTCTCAGGTCTGTCAGTTCCCAGTTGCTGCATTTTTTCCCCAGTGAGGAAGAGCTCGAGCGTGAAGCGAAACCTGCAGAGGACCAAGCAGCCCATCACCGCAGCCCCCTACCACGAACCTGCACCCAGAGCCAAGCCAGACCATTGTACCAAGCAGGGAGCAATGCCTATCCCTACTCTCTGCATGCCCACAGCTCTCTGGGCATGGAGGGGGGACACAGCTGGGGGTACCTTTCAGTGGGGCCGGGACTGGTGAGTGCCTGGGCTCTGCTCACGCCCAGGGAGATGAGGTCCCCACTCTCAATGTGTCCCAGGGGCTCAGTGCATTTCTCCGTCTCAAAGAAGAGCAGGGCTCTCTCCAGGGAGCACCACGTGCGCTGGAAGTCTGCAGGACCAGGGCAGGGGGTCAGTGACACCGGGGTGAGCACCCCACTGGCTGCCCTCACATACTCCCCATGCTTACCCTCTTTGCTCTTCTTGGCACCTGGGAACTTGGGGGGGCTCATGGCCCGGTAGAGGTACCCGCTGTGCATCACTGGCTGTGTGATCTCGTTGTAGACGCCCTCCAGACCTGGTTCCTGTGCACCAGGGCTCCCTGCGGGGAATGGAACCAAAGTGTGGGTACTAGAGGGGCAGAGAAACCCCACTCATGCAGATGTAGGCAAGGGGGTGTGCCAGGCTTGGGGTTCCCTGAAAAGAGGCTCCAGAGGAACCCACTGCCTTACCCCATCCCAAAAGAAGGGTGCAGTGGGGCAAATGAGTCCCCCAGGGAGCCACAGCACCTGATGTCCTGGCTGTCCCCAGCCTTAGGGTGTGTTGTGGGAGGGCAGGAGCAGTGGCAAGGAGGAAGGCCCCTCATCATAGCCAGACGGGCTTGAGGGTCCCCATTACCTGAATGGTTCCTGGGCCTTTTGTTCTTCGATTCCCACCAAAGGTCGGCCCCTGGGGTCACCTCGCAGGTGGCCGGATCAGCCACCAGCCCAACCTCTGAAGACGAGAAGAACTGCAGGATGGTCTTAAGCAGGGCTGGTCCTGTCACTGCAGCACACAGTGCCTAGGATGAGACAGGCACCTGTTAGGACCACATCCTGGCTCACAGAGACCCCCCAGCCTGCTGCCAGGCATGCTCGAAGCCAGGCAAAGCAAGACACAACCTCCCACCCAAGCCCACAGGAACTGCCTGGCACGAGGGTGCGGGTGCATGCAGCCAAGCAAAAGGTGTTGGCATCCCCAGAGCTCGGGGATGGTTCCCAGCAACCCAGCATCCTGCCTGCACCCCAAGGTGCTCCCTACCTGGAGCACATCCTCCTGAGTGGCATACTGGGGATGGGGCAGGCGGTATCGTCCTTCTCGGTACTTGCGGGAGATGAAGTCCCGTCTCTGCTCGGCGCTGGCATCTGGGTAGAGGGCCTCAGCAGTGGGGAGGCGAGCGGCCCAAAACCGGTTGGCTCGATCATTTCCCAGCATGATGAAGAGCTGCAGGAGAGTCCCATGGTCATGGTGACACCAGGGCCAGTTGGGAGGAGCAGGATGCCCAGCATCCCTGCATCCTGGGAGAGATTGTTCCCTGCCCAGAGAAGCAGCCTGCTCCCTGGGCATGCCGTGCCAGCCTCAGTGCCCTACCGTGAGTGCCTCTACCTGTACGATTTCATTGGACCAGACGCTGGTGTCAAGCTTCAGACTTTGCACCTTGGAAATATTGGAGCCCAGACTGCGGTGCTGCCCTGTGGGGAGGAGGAGAGTGAACACCCCTTGATCCTGCCAGGGGAACTGGTACCCAAGTCACACCCATACCTTAGCCAGCACCCTGTCTGCCCAGGTAGGCCCAGTCCACACCTGTTGGGACCCCCGTGTGCCTCCCAGGGAGATGTACTGGCCTGCACACTGCTTGCAGATGACCACGCAGAGGTTGATGGATGCCCAGTCGGGACTCTGAGCCCAGCAGTCAGCACAGTATTTGTTGGCTTTGTTGGACCAGATCTTCTCTGCCACCTCGTAGTCGTAGAGCATCTCAGCTATGGCCTCCTGCAGGGCCTCCATCCACTCCCGCTTCTCTCGCTCCGATTCTGCCACGAAGCTATGAGCACCAGCACAGCCAAAACTCAGGGGCCTTGAGCAACCAGCACCCATGTCCAGCACCCAGCTGCTCCCCCAACCTCATCCCACCCGAACACCTGGGATACCTGAATACTTTGAAGGGGGTGATGAGTTCGAAGCTGCGGTTCTTGGCTTCACGGATGGTGGAGCCACGCATCTCAATCAAGCAGATGCCAATGCCCATTTTAAAGAACTGCAATTCAGAGTGACACTGGTGTTGCCTCTGTGGCACCGTGGCTGCAGTGGACACACCACCCCAGGTGTGCTCATGACGCCGGGGCTGGAGCCAGGGAGCTGCATGTGGCACCCCCAGCATCCCATCCCTGCTTTGCCTGGACAAGCCAGACCTGATACCCTGCTACATCTCTCAACCATCTCATGTGGGCTGACATAAAGCATCCTGCAAATACATTATGCCTGAAATGAAAGGCAAGTTCTGCCCACAGCCCCTGAAACCTGGCCGTTCAAGTCCCTCTGTTTTGGAGACTTGAGTCCATGCTGCGTCAGGCGCACTCATAAAGCAAAGATCAACTTGAGCTGAAACCACAGAGCCTTGATGATGCTTAGTGCACTCCAGGCAAACAGGAAACGAGGTGACCCGAAAAAAAAACAAGAGTGCTGAGAAAATTCAGCAGGCTGGAGATGGGGAGCAGGCAGGGTGCGATGGGTTGGCAGAGATCTGTTGCCTCCCAAGCCTGCATTGCAGCAGATATGTTTGCTGGTGATTTCGTGGTCATTGATCCACCTGTCCTGTGGTGTATTGGGATGCTTTGATGCAACTAAGACCTACGTGCCTGGCAGAGATGAAGATAATTTGGTGATAGCGAGGGGATTGCAGGCGGGGGTCCACTCCTAGTACCCGCTGCATCTCCAAGCTCAGGTTTCCACTACAGCTGCCCTGTGCAGGACCTCCAGCTTCCTGCTCTGCCATTCCCTTTCTCCTGCCTGTCCTTTTCCTCTCGGCCCTCCCCTTGGCACAGGCCCTGGCTACATTCCCTCCATCCCTCCCATCCACCACTGGCACAGTCCTCTGCGCCGACGGCGTGTCTGCTCTGGCCACCAACCTGCTCGCTCTTGTACAGCCACATCTCAGGCAGGCTCAGGGCTGCGAACACCTTGGACTTCTGGCCCTTCAGCTCCAGGGTGCCTGACTTCTGGCAGTGAGCAGTGTTGGCGGGCCGGGGCCGGGACCCCACCAGGCGCTGGTCCATCACCTTCTTCTGCAGCGTGGAGCACCACTCATTCCTCTGGACTGGGGACCAGGCATGAGGGAGCAGGTCTAAGCCCTTCCCAACAGCCCTGGCATAGAGCAGAGCACCCGACAGACATGGCAGGGGAGAGGTCCCCTCGCTCATGGTGGCTGGATGCTTTGGGGATGGAGTGAAAGTTGGCTGGAGGAGGGAGGCAGGGACAGGACGGTTCTTTGGGGACTGGTGGGCCCTGACCTGGGTCTTCACTTACCCTCGTTCTCGGCACGGAAGACAAAGATCCGGTGGCTGGTGAATACCTGGAACTTGTTGTCCTTGGTGGGGCGAGCCATCTCGATCACAGACAGTGGGATCACCCCCTTGGGGTAGGGCTCCTAGAATGAGCCCCAGACATGTTTACCCCCCCTTTGCTCTTCCTGTGGGGCACCTCCATAACCCGGCCACCCCAGCATCTGCCTTGCTGGGCACCCTGGCACTATAACCATAGGGGTAAGGGGATGTGGCAGGGATGCCTACAATTTTTTTTGCTCTGAGGCCATGTACCTGTTTCTGCATGGGTGTCACTGATGTGGGTCCAACCTGGTTGGCTGTGCTCTGGGACTGGGGCAGCAGTGCCCATCACCCCAGGTGTGTGTGGCAGCCACCAGTACCCTGCAGCAGGCCTAACGGGGCCCTGACGATCCCCCCACCCCGGAAGGATGAGAGGATGTGGGACAGGAAAGGGTTGTTGACTCATCCCACGCACCTAACCCACAGCTAGAAAAGCTCCTCCATGCACCACATCCTCCACATCCCCCTGGTGCTTGACTGGGTCCTGCCTCATAGCACAGCCCTGGGGGACACCAGTAGCTGGGCAAGAGCTGAGGATTCAGGTAGGGATGGGTCTGTGGCTGGGATCCAGAGATCCTCCATTTTCAGTCTGCCTCAGGGAGCCAGCAGGACCCCCCTTGCCTGCTCCCTGTTGACAGAGGAACCCTCGCTACCCCGGGCTTCCCACGGTGTGAGGTTGTGTTCAGAGCCCACCAGGCACAAGGACCACGGTTGCTCCACCCCGGCAATGGTAAAGCGGTGCTGGGTCCTACCAGAAGGACAAGGGGAAGCAAAGGGGATATAGCAGCTCACGTGGTGTCAAGGTACCCTGTTTAGGCAGCATGGTGCAGCCTCCCCACCCTGCCCGCATCCTGCCTCGTCGTACCTTCTCACTGCTGAAGTACATCAGGTTCTTCCCATCGAAACGGACGTAGCGCCTCTGGAAGACATAGTTCCTGTTGGGATGGCAGAAAAACAGGGCTGTTGGGAAGAGGATGATTCCCGTGAGGACCCCACATCTGTTCACATACCCCCTGTTCCCCCAAGGATGGCTGCACAGAGACCCTTGCAGCACAGCTGGGGCAGCCAAGAGGATCCTCCTCCTGTGGGGAGGTCTGGTTGCCCCAGTAACATGGTGACCAGCGTGCCCACCTCACCAGCCTTGCCCAGGGAGACTTTACCTATGGGGACTGTCACACATACCCCTGTGGGGAGAGCTTGTCCAGCCAGCCACTGAGCATGGTGGGTCGGGGCTCAGAGAGCGACGTGAAGCTGGCGTAAGGGGAGATGGTGAGGTCGTCCAGGACCTCGTCTGGGTAGAGATGGGATGGCAGGCTGAATGGGGCACCTTCAGCCCGCGGTGCCTCCACTGTGGAGTACCCCTCTGTGTCATTCTGGATGATGCGATTGATGAGCCGGGACCGGGTCTCCTCATCCTCGCTCCTTCCCTCGCTGCTGCACTCGCTGCTCGTCCTGTGAGAAATGGGGCAGTGCGGGAATCCGGCTGCAGCAGCACGGATGTTCACTGTGCAGGGTCCTGGTCAATGCCATCCAATTTGGGGATGCCTCACACTGCTCCTGGCCCCATCCTGAGCTCCCCAGAGCACCCAGTTGCAGGGTGGGACAAGGGCTCAGCACTCATGAACCCTGTGGCCACCAGCAGCTCAAGGTTCCGCCAGTCCTACATGATGGCAAGACTGGGGCTAGCTGGCAAAATGGGCTTCCCCACTTTGGGTAATACGGCACAGACCACCACACATCTCCAAACCCCTGGAATCACCTCCTTCCCCTCTTCACTCCACAGGCAGCAAACCAAAGCCTGGCAGCTCCCGAGTCCCACGTCCTGCTCCCTGCCGTACACCCACCCCAGCTACCTCCTCGCCAGGGGTCTCAGCTTGCCCTCTCCCGCTACCCCTCACGGTCGTTCTGCCACGACATCCTCCCGCCTGCTCTGTGTCCAGCCGAAATATTTTGCAAAGGGATTGGGGTGGACAGATGGGTCGGTGGTGCTCCTGCATCCATCTCCTTTTCTTGGGAAGCCATGCAGTTAAAACCCGCAGCCAGGCCTGGTGAGACTATCCAGCCATAACAATAAAAGGAAATTATAAAAATAAACTGCTAAGCCTGCCCCTTCCCCTCAGCCCTCTCAGCCAGATGTTTCTCTTTCCCCAAAAAGGAAATGTGCTGGAAAATGTCTGACAGTCCCAGGAGCTCACAGGCAAGCTGACCGGGTGCAATGAAGATGGGCAGGAAGAAAGTCACTGCAGCTGGGACACCAGCAGAAGAGGACTCGTGCCACTGGGTCACTTGTGGCATCCAGTGCCGGCATGAAGAAAAGGATCCAAGAAAGGCAACAAAGATGGTCCAAGCCCTCTCATAGCTTCTGTCTGAGGAGCACCTGAGCAAACTGGGCATCTCCAGTGGAGAAAGGGTGAGGGATGGGGACATCTGAAGTTGTGAGTGGCATGAGGAAGGCAGAAAGACATCTCCTGGCCACCACTGCTTCAGTCACAGCAGCTGGGTGACATCAGATAAAACCAAGAGCAAGGTGTAGAACCACATGGGAAAGGAGCAGCTGACCTGTGGGACTCCTTGCTTTGAGACGTTGTAGAAGGAGAAATTTATGGAGGAGAAACCCACTGCAGGGTACTGAATATGAGAAACTACCTCCAGCACAAATCCACATGCTAGAAATGCATTTGGACCACGAGATTGACCCTGAACACCTCCCCTCATCATAAATTCCCCAAACACCTGGTTTTGAGCACTGTCTCATTGTAGGAACCAAGGCAATATGTGGACCTGTGCTTTGACCCTGGACAGGCACCTTACGAGGCCCTCGTACGTCAAATATCCCTGGACCCTGTGGGACAGAAGCAGAACCTGGTCTCCCTAGAAGGATGTTGGGCTGGAGCCATCCAAGCGAGGGGTTGGCTCTGGAGAAGTGGGATGGTGTATGGGGCTGAGGAGGTGGGTGGAGAGGGAAAATGGCCTGTTTGGCTCCAGTGTCTCCAAGAAAGACAAGAAACGGCCATGGGTGGCTTGGAGGTTGAGAGCACAATGAAAATTGCTGTTTAATTAGGATAACAGAGCCTTGGCAGGGCGATTCATCTGACTGGAGTCCTAGCCTGGTGTCCAGCTTCTTCAGGAGGGACTGGCCAGGGAGCAGAATAGCTGGAGGACTCTCTACATCACAGGCAGACATCAGCCTTGAGTGCCAGAGCTGAGTGGGAGACAGACCCACCAAATACGTCGGGGCAAGAGAAAAAGGGGAAAAATCCATGACAACCCTTTCCTGAGCCATGATTTACAGCCACTGAAATCACAAAGAGCTGGAGGACAAGCAGCATCTGGCAGGGGTAAGCAAAGCCCATGGCCCGGCTGGTGTGAGGTCTGTCAGCATCCCAGGAGAATGTCAAGACTCAGACCAATTCCCACCTCCACCCTTGAGGCTGACAGAAGGAAGCCTCCAAATAAGTCTGCAAAGGCCGAGTCATATCCCTTTTCAGGTGGTGTCAGGCAGTGAAGACAACTAACCTTAGGGCCAAATGAGTCCCCAGGGCATGGGGAGGGTATTTCCAGGTCAGCTGAGCCTGGAGGATGATACCTGAGGTGTACCGAGTTGGGGCAGTCTCAGCCTGACTGTGCTCACATGGGAGATCTCGTGGAGGATGGAAGATGGGTGATGGAAGAAAGGGATCTGCTGGTGGTGAGGGGATCAAAGAGCTGCTGCTGGATCTGGTTACTTCAACTGGGGATCATGGGTCAGACAATCAACCTGTGAGTGGGCACCTGGAGGTAGGTAGGGAGATAAGGAACAAGCTGTCAAGGACACACCATTCACAGTGTTTCTTCTCCTGCGGAGAAGATGTCTTGAGGCATGGGAAGAAGCATTCTGGGTAGGTATCTGCCTGAGGATCATCTGATCGCAGGTCTTGATGCAAGCCAGGCCAGGGTCCACCATCCTCAGCATGTTGCCTGACAAGTCGCTGTCTGAAAGAGTCTCCCGAGCTCCATGGGGTGACATGGGCACTGCTGTGCCATCGTCTCTCTCCTGCTGGGACTGATGTCTGAAGTGGGGCAGATGCTGTCCTCCATACCAGCATTTCAGGGGGCTGAGCATCACCAGCTTGGATGAAGGTGCTCAGCGTCAGAGCGGGCGAATCCCACCCTACACTCCAGGGTCTGCTGGACCCTCAGACATTCAGTTCCCAGTTTTAAGGGGAAATTCTCATTCCTCTTCCTCTTTGCTCAGGTTATCTCGTTGCTGGCCGAGGTGGCTCTGCCCATCTCCAACATTGACATTCACTGCCCAGACCCAAAGCCAGAGAGTAGCGCCGTCCAGACAAAATTCCCCCAGAACAGGGTGAGAGGGGATATCTCAGGTAGGAGGTAGATATTGTGCCAAAGGGGCAGGAGAGCCTCTCTGAAGTTTGAGAGTGGGAAATATTTCCCATAATGAGCGGGTTGGTGGGCTGCAGGAGATGCTCACATTGTCCCCAGTGACCAGGTGCCAGCCAGCAGGATGAGGATCTGGCTGAACTGGAGAAACACCAGTGTTAAAGATGAGGATCAGGAGGTCCCACAGAGGCAGGGACTGACCAGCAGCGGTTTTTCTGAGCAGGAGCCCAGAGCTCTGCTCCAGTGGGATTGCGGTCAGACCAGTGGGACTGGTCAGGGGAGGAAAGCCTTGGAGAATTTGGCCGATGGGGCCCAGGAGCACAATGCAAAAGGTTTTCAAAGGCTTTTCTATCTCTTGTTCAGCTCCCCACACCTCAACCACCTCAGTGCTCAGGCTAGGAGAAAAAAACCCTGTGAACTGCTGCCTCTGTCACTCTGCTGACAGTCACACACTATCTCTTCTCAGCAAAACCAGGCTGCAAAGTCACTGGTGGGTCCAGGGCTGCAAATGCCTGTCCAATGCCCTTGGGATGCTCTGAATCCCAGCTCCCTGGAAGCCACTGGATGGAGACCGTGACCCATTAACCAGCACCCACTCTGAACTGCTGGTTCAGAGGCTCCATGGCAGATTTCAGTATTTCGGTTTACAAAACTCCTGTTCCCAGGTATTTGCAGTTCCCCACCCATGGCCCGTGTTGGCTCTCATCTTGCTGCAACATCTGCCTGAATGTGATGTTGGATCAGGCTACACTGCAGTGACTCGCACCCAGAGCAAGAGATGGGCTGGACGGACCAACACTGGGCCCAGAAAGGCAGGGGCATGGGGATGCACTGGTTGGCAAGGCCACGGGCAGATCTGAAGGACACAGAGCTGAAGCTCACCTCCTCCTCTCTAAGCAACACAGGAAAAGGAACCCTCCCCATCCGAAATGGGAAGAGCAGCTTTCCTTCCTCTTTCTAAGATGCTATCAGGAGTTATGGAAAGTACATTTCAAAAGCTTTTTTAAGGTGCCCCTCACAATGTCACTGTCCACCACAGTGTGAGAGATCAGCAAATTCTGATCTAATGATGCTGGAGCCTTTGGAGGTCTCACATCCCTTCTTCTGGAGCTCAGAACCATCCCATTTCTGAGCAATCCCTCTCTCCCGTGGTGTTTCCCTGCTTGCAGCTGTCAAATCCAGGCTCTGCCTGGTGTGCAGGTGCCCAGTGACACTGGCACTGCACCAACTGTGCACCCAGAGCATCTGTTGGCAAGCACTGTCCTCCTGAGGGCCACCCACCAGCACAGCTCCTTCTCATCTCTGAGCCCATCGGCTCTTCTTGAGACTGCTGATCTGATCCTAGATGATCCTGATTGCCTCTACAGTGGGGGAAAAGCCCCCACCGCCTCTCAAGCTGTCCCCAGGGGTGTCCCCTGTCCCCCTGGCATCTAAACCCTGGACCCCGAGCCCAGCCCAGCCCCTGCAGCCCACAGGAGGTGATCCCTACCTGCACGCTTCTCGCTCCAGGTCCAGCTCGGACACAGCCTCGTAGCTCTGATCAGAGGAGATGTCAACACCCTAGGAGGAGAGATTGGTCACATCTCCTCTCTCCTGTGCCTTTTCCCATCCCAGACCTCCTCAACCTGCCTGGTCCACTGCTTGGGGGCTCAGCCTGTGACTCCCACCCCAGAAGTGATGCTCTGCCAGTCACTGCTGGGCACCACAGTCTCACCAGCTCCCTACTTGGCAGTAGCTGGTGGGATGCAGAGTGACGGCAGGGGACAGCCATCATCCCCACATTCTCCTCTCACCTTCTGCTCCCGGGATGGGGCTACATGCCCAAAGATCGTCTCGCTGTAGGGGTTGACGGGCTGCTCGACGACCTCTGTGGGCAGAGACATAGGAGGGAAAGGCAGTCAGCAGAGCCTGCTGTGGGGCAGCTACCAGCCAGGACTGCCAGCCCTGGAGGGGGACCTCTCAACTGAGCCCATCGCAGTGCACCCCAACATCCAGTGCATCTGGTATAACAGAGTTGTGTGGGGCTGGGCCCTGCCTTGGCCCCAGGGCCACCCCAGTCCTTGAGTGAGGCAGGAGCATGGAGTAGGACCTGGGGGAAAGGCAGGGTGTGTGGGTGTCCCCCTCACCCCACTTGCTTGGGGACACTGGGAGGTCCCCAGTGTGCACCGATGCCCTCGGGGGTCTCACCTGGCTTGCTGATGGGTCTCTGTGGGATGGGGGGCAGACCCCCGCCGGGCCAGCTGGGACTGCTGGAAAACAAAAGGGGGGTTACTGGGGCTGTGGCTGGGATGGGGTGAGAGCCTGAGATGCTTTTCCGCCCTGTTTACCCCTCTGGTTTACTTGGGCTAGAGGTTGCGCCTGACCAGGGTTGAGCCCAGCTTTGTCCCTCTGGGATGTGTAGCATCCCCTCCCTGCTCCCAGTGCCCTCCTTGCTCCCTTCCCCTCCCCACCCTAGGACCTGTCAGGCTGTGTTTCCTGGGGCTGCTGGGCATTTCCCATCCCAGTTCGACCCCTCTAACATCTCTCACCTTGCTCCCAGCAGGAACCAACCCCAGACCCCTCACTCCACCATTCCCTCACCATGCCGGGGAACCCCAGCTGTGCTGCCTTGGGGTGGGGTGGGGGACAAAGAAAGGGCAGCAGCCTCTTCCCCCAACCAGGCTGAGCCATCCAGGGGCCCAGGGCCACCCTGTCAGCTCAGAGGGATCCCAGCTGTCCCACGGGACTGCTCCGTGAAGAGCCTGGGAAGGCAAAGGGGAGGGTGGTGAAAG